GAGAAAGAAAGAGAAAGAAAGAGAGAGAGAGAGAGAGAGAGAGAGAGAGAGAGAGAGAGAGAGAGAGAGGAGGAAGAGAGGAGGAGATACGATTGAAGAATTATAGGAGATTAATTGTGTACTGAGAGGCGTGTTATCGGTGCTAATATACGAACACAGAAGGAGGAAGCCAGGCAGCATGAATGTAGAAAATGTAGACAAAAAACAAGAAAAAAGAAAAAAATTTGTCGTGTAACGAACATAATTCCGCGTTCTGTCTCGCGTGGGATATTTTATATATGCCCTAAAAAGACAAGAAAGGAAATTACTGAACGCACGAGACTTATGACTGTGCCTTTGTCAGTGTCGAATATCAACGGCACTGATTTCGTTTCGGCAACGAGTGCCGTCCGCAGCCACGGTCATCGTCGTCGGTATTAAAAAAGAAGAAATCACGAGAAGAGAGGAGTTGCGATCACAACTCGTAGATGATGGAGAGAAAAAAAATAAGAGAAAAAAAAATGCAATGAATGCGTTTTGTACGACAAACAAGAAACGAATAAAACGATTAAAAAAGAAAATAGAATCGAAAGAAAAGAATTCAATACGCCGGCCGAATGGGTCGTGCAGTGATACTGAAATAGCGGAGAAAAATCGTACGAAGGATACCAAAATTCGCAAATTGTTTAGCTAATTAAAAACTTTTTTAAACGGTTTTCCTATACGTAAACTATATACGTCCATGGTATCTCTCCTATGCTGCGATGCCGTAAATTAGAAAATATGGCAGAGAAACGAGATTACGATATCCTTACTGCTCTTACGGTGTCACTGCGACAATCTTAAGCGACGATGATATATCGTATGTCATTATTTGCTACGCGATCGAACGTGTTCTGGATCGTTTATTCGGCTGCTATCGTGTGTCTCAAACGATCGGGTCACATTACTCAAGTTTGCTGACGTTCATGCGCACTCGGACACGATCGAGATTAATGGATCGGCATAACTAGGGCCGGCCGTGCTTCCAGTATTCTTAAGCCGCAAAGATCCTATTCTTTTTGAAGAAGAACTTCCGATTAAGCTACCTTTTTTCTTCCTTTTTTAATCGATACGCCAATATATACAGTGCCAACGATCGTATCCTAGTGCGCGTGCAAGTGTGTGTACGTGCGTGTGTATGCATGGTGCATGTAATATGTTAAGAGAGAAAGAGAGAGAGAGCGAGAGAGAGAGAGAGAGAAAGCTAGAGAGACGAAAGATACACGCATCTCAAAGCTCAAACAGCGGCTCGCGCGGAGGACCGATCCGAGAATTTGCTTCTCCGGCGAGCTGGCGTCATTATATATAAATATATAAATATAAATATAAATATATATATAAATATAAATATATATACATTTATATAATTCTTTATATACACTGTACCCTCCTCTGATGATAATACTTAACGATAACGATGTTCTATACGTTTGTACGAAAGTATAGCTGTTAAGAGAACGAGATGAGAGATAATTGCTCGTACTGGTTCTTCAGTCTCAAAGTATCGCGTTAGAAAAGAGAAAACGAGAAAATCTTCGAGATCTCTCTTTCCAAGTCAATTATTTATCTCGATAGCGATGATACTCGACTCGTATAATCGTCGTCTAATAATGAAAGCAACGTCACGCTTTGAGACTCTGGAACTCTGCAGGCTCTTTTTAGTGTAATAAATAGAACGAATGTTTTGTATACATATATATGCATACATATATATATGTATGTATATATAGTCGCACGAAATACTGCGCATACTGTCTGTATAATAATGGAACGAAGACGAGTCAACGTTCGATCTTCCCGATATCAGCGGCCCGTTACTCCTAGTTACTCATTTATTAATAATTAATTAAGCCCGTATCTGCCCCTGGGATAACAGCTTCTCGCGAAGAACTATCATGAAAGCGTTTTTCTCTTTTTCTTCACGTAAAGGATCTCTTTCGACATGAAAGATCAACGTATTCATGGAGCTTCCACGACAACTCGATCGTGATATACAAAGTGGCCATATTATTACTGTCACTGTTTTCAGACATGAATGAAACAAATTTCCCACGCAATAATCGATAATAAATTTTTGATACACGTACAAAACGTTTCTTGTGTTTTATCATATTACAATAAAATTACGAAACTCATCAGCGCTGCGACATTATTATATATCAAGGAAAAGTTAAAATTTTAAATATCCTTAGAAATAAAAATAACTACGATAATGGTACGAAACTGCGCATTTTTTATAACCAGGTGAATGGTACATTCAAGAAGATCGAAAAGAGAAAGGATCAGTGTCATAATTCTCAATTAACTATAGGTAACATCGACGAAAGAGCGTGATTTCGTACTTGTCTTCCATCGTGACAAAAGTTTATCACACTGGTACATTTTGCGGTAAGCAAAGCGAAAGTAACTAAAATAATTTGCTCAAGGATCATTGAAAGTTACGCGGTTATAGTCGAATCAGTTCTTCCCAAGCCAATACTCTAGCAATTGTAGTTCAAACCTTAGTATTTATACTCGATATCAACCCTCTTTCCCTTTCAATCATAGCGAGTAATAATTATCAAAGGTAAATATGAGTGTCGAGTGTTTACGATAATAAGTACGATATTATACAGCTGTACGATATTATGTAGCTGTAATAAAGCATAAGGCATACATCCCTTACAGAAATTCATTTTAACACTGAAAACGTTAATACTGGGAAAGAAGCGATTAATTATTTATTTTGCGTAATAAAAACATTAAACAATAGTAATTAATCATTTCTTTCCAGTATTAAATTTCTATAAGGGATATCGTGTTGGATATACGTAGAACGAAGCAGCGAATAACGTCCGCGAAATGTATAAATTACGTAGGCAAAACACGGAAGGCGATTAATTCCTATCCATTTCGCCGCATCAACCATTTCTTCGTGATCGAATATATTCACGTTGTAGAGAGATTTCCTCCAATTTCCTTGTAATCCGATATGATTATTGAGAGCTAGTGGTCGAAGGATTTGAATCGGCCCTGCGTTTGCGCGCGTGAAACAATATGGCGCGTGGCGCGCGGTCGCCGGTCGACGATATAAATATATTTGATCCTCACGACAAATTCACCGATTTCTTTCTCGCACGTGAGTACGATCGCAATCGCGTGCTGCTACGAGGAATGTAACTCGATATCGTTCGCCGCTTATTATACTATATGTGATAAACGGAATAAACGAAGAGCGAGCCGGGAAGCAGCGAAAGGAAGTCCCGGCGATCCCGGCGGTACCGACTATACGGAAGTATTAGACTAAGTTCGACAGTACGTGCTAGTATAAAGTGTCCTTTTATATGAATAAAAGATTTTGTATGTCATCTTGTGTATCTCTGTGTGCACCTCGTTAGGTATTCACTAAATAATCTGCCACCCCCTCCCCCCTTGTTGGCGTATAAATAAAAAATCTCAGTTTGACAAAAAAATAATAAGTTTAGTACTAGTCATTTCAAAAATCTGCATAAATTGTTAATTTTTTATGTAATTCGCCGTGACGTATTATTTGCATTTTGCGTCTATTAGGGCTGCGTTACAAAATTACTGCCACCAACAGTGCCAATGCCGAAAATGTATAGTTTACGATAAGTAAATATATCTCGGAATGATCAAAAAATATAAAAAGTATATTCGAGATTTAATATTGTATATTCTTATTCTATTAACATTGCGCGAAGAAGGATATAAACTTTGAAGAATTATGAGAAAAATTTGGATCTTGTACATACATTTTCAGTCGTTGGAATATTTCATCCATATGCCGGGTTTAATTAGAGCTGCCGACATCAGAAAACAGTTTCTACGTTTCAGTGGAGAGCCGGTTACACGAGCGATTTTACACGAAAATATAAGTATTGGACGGATCCGTCGACGAATACATATAAACGTACACTTCTAACATTTTCACTTTCTCTCTTCAACCGTCAAATATACATATATTTATCACATTTTAAGTTCAAACATTTTTAGGAATTTCAAGCAACGCGAATAGACCTATCGACCTATCGACACCGGGCGGCCGGGTGAAGTATTATGTTCCTAGACGAACACGCGTTGGTAACAGTTGGCAACGCGTGTTTTGACGCATTGTTGAAGTCAGTCAAAGTGGTATTTTCTTTCGGTGTTCGTGCTAGGAAAAGACGTTGCGTTCTGTAATTTCGTGGAAAGATACGCGAAGGAATCGGTGTCAATGAACGATGGAGGCCGGTGCGAGTACGGGTACTCGTACAACGCGATTTATGATGGAAGGTGTCGGCGCCCGAGTGATTCGTGGACCGGAGTGGAAGTGGGGAAAACAGGTTAGGATGAGAGGTTAACTCGCGTTAAACGCGATTTATTTGCGACAACGCGATGCTTTTCTCTCGTAAGATTAATAGCAATAAATACTCTAATGTTTTCTATTTTCTGTAACGATAGCTCAACAATTTTTTTTAGAAAATTGAGCTCGAAAAAAAGTAATTTAATTCGTTGTAAGGTTACTCCGATTATTGTTTATGTCATATAACATTTTTATTTTATTGAATTATAAATTTATTGCGTACTTATTTAAATTACTATTAAATTTTATAATATTATATATAAATATACATGATTTTTAATGAGCAGATAATTATATAAAAATTGGAGTAACAGCTTT